ATCATTATGATAATAAACAATCTGTCCTTGGGGAGGTATTTGTAGTGGTCATCTTTCTTTTGAAAGTTTTCGTGGAGGCAAATCAGTAGGTTGTTTGCAAATTATTATTATTGGTAAAGTTACTTCAACAAGGTTGAAATATAGATAGACAATGAATGCAGTAATTCATTACTTATACAATAGCATGTTAATTGGATAAAAACAACGTCCAACAATACACTCCAGCTAACATTTAATGTTTTCATACCATTGATCTGACCTAGCAGTAGTATTACCAACATGTCAGCAGTGCTTGAATGTTGTTGTTTTCATAATCCGCAATAATAACAGTAGTCATGTGAGTTGGTTTGTTGATGCAAAGGTAATTTTTTTTAAAATTTTTTTTATAAATAATTTATTTAACTTTAATTGTCTTGTGTTGAATTCATAAATAGGTCTTCACAAAAGAAATCATGCATGAAATCATAATCATTTTGACCAATGGGTTCCTCATTGCATGGAAGACTATTTAAATTCCAAATATCGTCTTCCTCTAAAAAATTATCAAAAGATCCGATTGAATGTGGATTATCTTGGCTAACAATTATTGAGTTAGGTGAAGATTCAGATATTGAACTGGATGTTCTTGTTTCCTTTCTTAAACTTATATCATCTTCAATATTAGCCTCTTGTTGAATTCGTTTCTTCCTTCCACATTTTTGTTTTGTGGAATAAACACATTCCTTATTTAAACGTTTACAATGAATACAAGGCTTTCCACTATTGCATCTAATTTTCAACTTAACACATGAGTCACACGAACTTCTGAATTCTGTTCCATTTAAATCAACATTCCTTTCTTTGAGTTTTGTCTGAATTCTCTTTTTAATTTTTCTTCTAACCGTATTATTCTTCTTAATTTTGTTGTTGTCTTCCTTATTGCCTTCTGAATCTGATTCATCAGCTTCAGGTGGTTCGTTCTCAATAACTATTTTTTTCCAAATATTCTTTTGAACATGGCAATATACAGAATTTTTCTTTTCTTCACTAAAATCTGACAAACTTTCAGAACATGATTTCAGTTTCTCGAAATCTTGTTTTAAAGTTGCCAATGTTGTTTGCCATTCTGAACTAATCTGCATATTAGGATTTGTTTTCAATCCGTGCCATTTCTTTTTGAACTTGGAGGACATGTATAACGTACGTGTAGGAAGCAAAATAGATTCTGCAAAGGAAGGTAAATTGAATTTACCTTTATGATTTGATTTTCTTTGACCTATCATTCTACCAAGGGAATGATATGCTTCACATCCTTGATTCATATATTTTGTTAAGCTTCCATACTTTTCCAAAAGATCCGGTAAATGATACAAAATAATATTAATATAGTAAGCAAGTTGATCATTTGGAAAGGCTTCTCTTAAAACCTTTTTAGTGAAACTCAAATACTCTTTCAATTCTTCTTTCTTAAAATTCAAATCCAATAGCCCTTGACTGGCTTCAAGGTAATGATATATTATGAATCTAAGTGATGACCACACTTTAAAATCATTATCATTAAATTGGGTATCCGATAATGATTCCATCATAATTGATTCATAATTTAACAAAATCATATCAGCTTGATCTGCATTCATATAAGGAACTTCTAATTCAATTTTGTCATTTGTCGCTTGTAGAGCAAGTGTTGTGGCAGGTTGTTTCTTTCTAAATTGAAATTGAGACATTCCCTTCAATTTCTGAATTTTAGCTTCGAGGGATTTAATTCCTGACACTGTCATCTTAGAAATTTGAAGGGATAACAAACAGCCAACAATTCTCAATTTTGCATGAAGTATGTCAATAACTACATTGGTGAATAAATTTGGAAATTTTTGAAAATAATGAGCTGGGGGAGCAAAAGCAAAATCCTTCTCCATTCTATCATCATATACACAGGGACAATATGGACACACAAAGTTTCGTTTGATGTCAGAAATCTTCCATAATGCACTTAAATCCGTACATACGTACATTGTGCAAGGAATATCTTTTGATTGTCCTGTTTTTTCTGATTTGTATGTTATAGTCTTTAAATCATTAAAATATGTCATGGTTTTTTGAAAATAGCAGAAAACATTAGCTTTTGTTTCTTTCCCCTTATACATATCAGTAATGAATACATTGTTCCTACACTGAGTGGAAAGTTCAGAATTTAAAATTACAAAGCAACAAACAACCTCCCCTCCAGCTCTTCCATCCCAAAATAATTTCAATTCTAATTTCTCTGGTATGGAAATATCTTCGTTTTCTAACATTATAAGAGCATCATTTAAAACCAAGCCAGGATCAAGATGTATTCCATTAGAATCAGATGTGATCTTGTATCTATCAATTATTTCCAAATCAATTTCACCTCTCCTATCAGCAAGCTCATTTACAGAAATCATTATGTTCTGTAAATTGTAAAATTTAACTATTTCATCATATAATCCATCTGATAATAAATTCTTATCTGTAAAATATACAGAGCTAGTGGCATCATAATTAGATAATAAATCTTTGTTTGAAATTTTCATTATTATTTCATTAAGGTCTTTTGAATTTTGTGACCTCTCCTGCAATTTCCTAAATATTAGTTCACTATCTCTTTCAAACAAATAATCAATAAAATCATTCATTGTTTGGCCATTGGATTGTAATAATTCATCCACACCAAAATATAATCTCTCTCCATTAGCCTTTCTTGATTGAGAAGTTAATTGTGACAAATTTTTTGTTGACCTACGGGACTTTCTAGGTTGAACAAAATTTTGCTCACAATTAGAACATACCAATCCGAAAGAAGAGCTGACATTAATTTGTTTTTTTTCTCTATCTTTTCGTATTGGTTTATTTGTTTCTTCTGTCGAGCCTTGTTTACTAGAAGTACCAGTAATTATTGGTTTATTTGAAACCTCTACATGAATATTTCGATCTTGAATTTTTCTAATTTCTGCTTTCAACTTCTCTGTTTCTTTCTCTGCAATCACTTGTTCCAGTAATTTATTCATTAACCATTCATTAACATCACCACTAATTTCACATCCTTTTGAGGTTAAAAAATTGAAAAGGCAAACCTTATCAACTATTGTAGATTCCACATCATAAATTCTAAATCCTGATGAAACATGTTGTTGCTGTCCCCAATAAGCCTCTCTCTTTAAATTTCTATATTTATCCCAATGACTTGGAATTGTATAAAAGGAGTTTGGTACTACTTTACTGACAACATCAAAATCACTGGCATTGGAATATTCATATTCAATTAGTCTTATATTTTTGAATAAAAATGGCATTCCTTGTATTTTTTCTGAACCTGTATTATTGTTCAATTGATGTTCATTATCCACATTTTGTTGAATTATTTCTGTACTTTTGTTTTGGTTGTAAAAACAATCTTGACATATTAAACTTGCTGCTAATTTTTTCTTTCGTAACTCTTCACTGACAAAATTTGTTTCTTGAAATATACTGTTTCCTTTGTAAACATTTACAACATGTCTTTGTTTCCATTTTTTTTTAATTTTCAAAATAAATATTGATGGTCAATAATCAAGAATGAATATTCGACATTGTTCGAAAGATAATTAAATATACAAGATACCACGAGATTTGATAAATAATAATTTATTTTGTTGTAAAGAATGCACCTTCTTTCTCTCTCACCACCATCGTACAACATTCAATTTCCCAATTACAATAAACTCTGTTAGTTCTAGAATTTACAACAATTGTAAGAGTCTTATATTCAGCAAATTGCAATGGTTTGTTGTGAATATCTTCAACTTTGGGAAACATGTCATTTCTCCACCATCTATCACATTCGAAAGTAGGAAATCCACAGGCCAACACAAAGTGATATTTGAATAATTTAACTTGATGAGTTTCATATCCGACTGTTTGTTCATCATATACAACATCCTTTGCACATTGATAATTTCTTGTTATTATTTTGTCAAAAATTGCATAATTCATATTTCCAAGATTCAATCCATTTCCAAACTTTACATTTCCAAATGTTAAATTATCCTTTAGTACTGTTGTAGCATCAATACAAAATTCCTTCCATTTCTTTTGTGCATAATCAATAAATTCAGTATCTGTTGTGATGCTCAATTTGTTCTTCAAGTCTTCAATTATCCTGTTATACTCATCATCACTAATTGGGATGGCCTTGAAGGATCTGACCTTGTCAATATGTTTCTGTTCCAACTCCAACATTTTAGCCCATAATGGTTTCTTAAACTTTTTTCCGGCCTGTGTTTTCATCTTGCTGCTTGTGTCTTTAGAAACCTTGTTGGGCTTTCTATTTAACATGAATTCTTTATAGAATGTTGGATCATAGGTGATAAAACTTGTTGTTTGCTTCAATGTTTTAGGCATTGTATGGTTGTGTTATTTTGTTGTGTGGTGGTGGTTTACATTGTGAAGTAAAGTCATTTTATTCTGTGATGACACTATTTTTTTGCTCCGTCCTTGCATTGTATTCAGTACTTTTGCATCTTTATTTATCAGAAACAAAAATATAAAATATTTTGCAATTACAACAAAAACAAAACAATGGATGGAGCCTTGGTTGTTTTTAAAGGCGTAGAAGAGCCACAGTTGCACAATAGTTTTGGGTTTTTAAAAGGCTTCAGGGATACGGTAACCGTTAGCGTATTCATTCCGAAGTTAACTCCACAAGAAGCAGTGGAAAACTTTGCTGTTGTCTTCAGAGAATACAATCCTGAGAAGAAGACAATTTCATCCAAAACACAACAAACACTTCAGTATCCCTTTACAAGGTCAATCTTCTCCCCAAAAGAAGAAATAATTGATTTCGAATTTCAAGATAATTTCTGGTTTAAACGAGATGATATTCCCGATATTAAATTTTATTATGCAAAGGCAACATTCAAATTGGCAAAACTAAAATTGAAGGAAAAGAAATTCTATGATGTTTCAATCAAGTCTGGAAAAAACTATTATCACAAATATTACATAATGATGGGACGACAGGAAGAATTTTCATGGACAAATTTTGCAGAAAGTTCAACGGCTAACAAATCTGTAACGTTCTTTTTTGAAACTTTATTGATGAAACTCGAAGATATGGCAAAAGCACAGGAGTTAACAATGATATTATATTCAAAAATGATAATGGAGAGAAATGATACACACACATTCATCGCACAAATGGTTGCTGATGGAGCAAAGATAAAGTTTGAAAATATCACAGCCAGTCATTTAGAAAAGAGCCCTCCAGATTTATTAAATCAGTTATCTGGTGACCCATTTTACTTGATAGAATATTTATTAGATAGGACAGAGTTAGGTAGCAGAAAACAGTTTATTGAAAAGGTGTTAGATACTGACAGGGACCTGTGGTCATTAGTCCCACCTGAAATTTTTGATGCTATCAAACCCTCTCAAAAATCGTTAGCTGATGCTATCAATTTTATTGGG